TGGGATGGGATGGATGGGATGGGATCCATAGGGTGGGATCGATGGGATGGGATGGGATGGATGGGATGGGATCCATAGGGTGGGATCGATGGGATCAGTGGGATGGGGGTGGAGACTGGAGGATGCCGGGACCGGGAGGGAGGGATGGGATGGGAATGGGATGAGGAAAGGCGGCAGCGGGGATGGGACCGGGCTCGGGCTGACAGGGAAGGGGGGAAGGGCCCGTCCCCCTCCCCCTTCTCCCATCCCGCTCCGGCCCCTCTTGTCCCGCTCCTTTCCTTCCCTTTTCCCTCTTCATTCCTTCTGGGGTTCTCCCTCCCGTCCTCTTTCCCTTTCCCGGGTTCGGGACAGTTTTCCCCTCCTCTGCTTCTCTCCCTGAGTGCTTTCCTCCCCTGTTCCTGGGGGAACCCGGCATCGCCCAGACCCCATCCCGTATTCCCGTATCCCCAATCCCAAACCCCAAACGCCAAATCCCAATCCCAAATCCCAAACCCCAAATGCCAAACCCCAGACTTCAAACCCCAAACCCCAAACCCTAAACCCCAATTCCAAACCCCAAACCCCAATCCCATCCCCAGGCAGGAGTTCGAGGCACAGCACAGCCCAGACCCCGATCCCAAACCCCAGACCCCAAGCCCCAATCGCAATCCCAAACCCCAAACCCTGAACCCCAAACCCCAGACCCCAATCCCATACCCCAAACCCCAGACCCCAAACCCCAGACCCCAATCCCAAATCCCAAACCCCAATCCCAAACCCCAAATCCCACCCCCAGGCAGGAGTTCAAGGCGCAGCGCAGCCTGGACCCCGATCCCAAAGCCCAGACCCCAAACCCCAATCCCAATCCCAAACCCCAATCCCAAACCCCAAACCCCAATCCCCATCCCAAACCCCAGACCCCAATCCCATACCCCAAACCCCAGACCCCAAACCCTAGACCCCAATCCCAAATCCCAAACCCCAATCCCATCCCCAGGCAGGAGTTCAAGGCGCAGCGCAGCCCGGACCCCGATCCCAAACCCCAAACCCCAAACCCCAAACCCCAGACCCCAATTCCAAACCCCAAACCCCAATCCCAAACCCCAATCCCCATCCCAACCCCAAACCCACCCCCAGGCAGGAGTTCGAGGCGCAGCGCAGCCCGGACCTGTCGCGGGACGTTTACCTGCAGGACGTTCACTGCGTCAGCTCCCTGTGCAAGGCCTACTGCCGCGAGCTGCCCAACCCCCTGCTCACCTACCAGCTCTACGACAAGTTCGCCGTGAGTCCCTGTCCCCGAGTGTCCCCGAGTGTCCCCGAGTGTCCCCGAGTGTCCCCAGTGTCCCCAGTGTCCCCGTCACCGCGCCGTCCCCGCAGGACGCCGTGGCCATCCAGATGGAGGAGGCGCGGCTGGTGAAGATCAAGGAGGTGCTCAGGGAGCTGCCGGCGCCGCACTACAGGTGAAGGGGTTGGGGACGTCCCCGCGGCCCCGGCGGTGTCCCCTGCCCCGGGTGGCACCGGCTGAGGTGTCGCCGGTGCCGCAGGACGCTGGAGTTCCTGATGCGGCACCTGCTGCGCATGGCGGCGCACAGCGGGCGCACCAACATGCACGCGCGGAACCTGGCCATCGTCTGGGCCCCCAACCTGCTGCGGTGAGCAGCGCCCGGCGCGGGCACCCGGCCCTGGCACCCGGCACTGGCACCCGGCCCTGGCACCCGGCCCTGGCACCTGGTGTTGTCACCCGTGTACTGTCACCCAGTGCTGTCACCTGGCGCTGGCACCTGGTGTTGTCACCCAGTGTTGTCACCTGGTGCTGTCACCTGGTGCTGTCACCTTCAGTCCCATCATTGCCACCCTTGTCACCCTCAGCCCTGTCACCCTCAGCCCTGTCACCCTCAGCCCCATCACCCTCCATCCCAAGGTGACCCCGCTGTCCCCACTGTCCCCTCACCCCGAGGTGACCCCGCTGTCCCCTGACCCGAGGTGACCCCGCTGTCCCCACTGTCCCCTGACCTGAGGTGACCCTGCTGTCCCCACTGTCCCCTCACCCTGAGGTGTCCCCCCTGTCCCCTGACCCGAGGTGACCCCGCTGTCCCCTGACCCCGAGGTGACCCCGCTGTCCCCTGACCCGAGGTGACCCCGCTGTCCCCTGACCCCCAGGTGACCCCGCTGTCCCCTGACCCGAGGTGACCCTGCTGTCCCCTGACCCGAGGTGACCCCGCTGTCCCCGCTGTCCCCCCTGTCCCCTGACCCGAGGTGACCCCGCTGTCCCCACCGTCCCCAGCTCGAGGGACATCGAGGCCTCGGGGTTCAACGGCACGGCGGCGTTCATGGAGGTGCGCGTGCAGTCCATCGTGGTGGAGTTCATCCTCACCCACGTCGAGCAGCTCTTCGGGGACGCGCCGCTCCGGGGTAGGGGACAGCGCGGGGACACCGTGGGGACACCACGGGGACAGCGTGGGACAGCGTGGGGACAGCGTGGGGACAGCGTGGGACAGCGCGGGACAGTGTGGGACAGCGTGGGACAGCGCGGGGACAGCGTGGGGACAGCACAGGGACAGCGCGGGGACAGCGTGGGACAGTGTGGGACAGTGTGGGGACAGTGTGGGGACAGCGTGGGGACACTGCGGGGACAGCGTGGGACAGTGTGGGGACAGCACAGGGACAGCGCGGGGACAGCGTGGGACAGTGTGGGGACACTGCGGGGACAGCGTGGGACAGTGTGGGGACAGCGCGGGGACAGCGTGGGGACAGTGTGGGGACAGTGTGGGACAGTGTGGGGACAGTGTGGGGACATTGTGGGGACAGTGCAGGGACACCGTGGGGACAGCATGGGGACGGCGCGGGGACGGCGTGGGGACACTGCGGGGACAGTGCGGGGACAGTGCAGGGACACTGCAGGGACAGCGCGGGGACACCGCGGGGACAGTGTGGGGACGGCGTGGGGACACGTCAGGGAGTCTGGGGGACCCTGAGGACCCTCAGGTGACCCTGTCCTGTTTTGGGGTCCCAGGACCCTGAGGGTCCCTCAGGTGACCCTGTCACATTTTGGGGTGCCAGGACCCTGAGGACCCTCAGGTGACCCTGTCCCGTTTTTGGGGTGCCAGATGGGGACCCTGAGGACCCTCAGGTGACCCTGTCACATTTTGGGGTGCCAGGACACTGAGGACCCTCAGGTGACCCTGTCACATTTTGGGGACTCTGGGGGACCCTGAGGACCCTCAGGTGACCCTGTCTGTTTTTGGGGTCCCAGTTGGGGACCCTGAGGACCCTCAGGTGACCCTGTCCGTTTTTGGGGTGCCAGGTGGGGAGCCTGAGGACCCTCAGGTGACCCTGTCACACATTTTGGGGTGCCAGGACCCTGAGGACCCTCAGGTGACCCTGTCTCATTTTGGGGTCCCAGTTGGGGACCCTGAGGACCCTCAGGTGACCCTGTCCCATTTTGGGGACTCTGGGGGACCCTGAGGACCCTCAGGTGACCCTGTCCGTTTTTGGGGTGCCAGGTGGGGACAGCCCCCGTCGCTCGCTGCTCCTGCCGGCGCCGCCGCCCCCCCTGCACGTCCCGGCCGCGCTGAGCCAGGGCGACGGCCCCCCCCAGATGCGGCCCTACCACACCATCATCGAGCTGGGCGAGCCCAGGTACGCCCGGCCCACCTGGCACAGCTGGCACCCCGAGCTGGGTGAGCCCGGGTACGCCCGGCCCACCTGGCACAGGTGGCACCCCGAGCTGGGCGAGCCCAGGTACGCCCGGCCCACCTGGCACAGGTGGCACCCCGAGCTGGGTGAGCCCAGGTACACCCGGCCCACCTGGCACAGGTGGCACCCCGAGCTGGGTGAGCCTGGGTATGCCCAGCCCACCTGGGCACAGGTGGCACCCCGAGCTGGGTGAGCCTGGGTACGCCCGGCCCACCTGGCACAGGTGGCACCCCCCGCCCCACCCCAGGGACCCCCCGAATCCTGGGCCTGACTCAGCTGCTCCCAGCCCACTGTGTGCCAGGGTGTTCTCAGGTGTGCCAGGTGTGTGCCAGGGTGTGCTCAGGTGCCCCCCCCCCCCGCAGGTGTCCCTCGAGGTGGGTTCAGGTGTGCTCAGATGTGCCCCCAGGTGTGCCCAGGTGTGCCCAGCTGCATTCCAGGTGCCCCCAGGTGTATCCCAGGTGTACCCCAGGTATATCTCAGGTGTATCCAGATGCCCCCAGGTTTATCCCAGGTGTGCCCAGGTGCCCCCAGGTGTGCCCAGGTGTATCCCAGGTGCCCCCAGGTTTATCCCAGGTGTGCCCAGGTGCCCCCAGGTGTATCCCAGGTGCCCCCAGGTGTATACCAGGTGTGCCCAGGTATATCCTAGGGGTGTCCAGGTGGCCCCAGCTGTATCCCAGGTGTGCCCAGGTGTGCCCAGCTGTATCCCAGGTGCCCCCAGCTGTATCCCAGGTGTGCCCAGGTGCCCCCAGGTGTGCCCAGGTGTAGCCCAGGTGTGCCCAGCTGTATCCCAGGTGCCCCCAGCTGTATGCCAGGTGTGCCCAGGTGCCCCAGGTGTGCCCAGGTGTAGCCCAGGTGTCCCCACAGGAGCAAGGGCTCCCTCAAGGCCAAGAAGTGGAGATCCATCTTCAACCTGGGCCGCTCCGGGCACGAGGCCAAGCGGAAGCCGGGGAAGGCGGAGGAGAAAGGTGAGAATTGGGGGGATCCCATGGACTGGGGGGGGTTGTGTCCCCAAATTCCCCCCAAATCCCCCCAAAATTCCCCAAAATTCCCCAAAATCCCCCCAAATCCCCTTCTCCTGCCCCATTCCCAGAGAAGTGTGGGAAGGTCACTCTGCGGCCGGCCAAGAGCATGGACTCGCTCAGCTCCGGCCCCTCCGGAGCGTCCGGTACGAGCGCTCGGGATTGTCCCTCTGTCCTTTGGGATTGTCCCTCTGTCCCTCGGGATTGTCCCTCTGTCCC